TTGGATTAGAGCTGCCAAATCCTGAGCATCTTGGCCAAAAGTTCCATTCCTGGTTATATTCGATGTCTTCCCATGTGTTTGCTGCCAAGTCTTTGGCTTTGCATCAGCTCTTGCACAGTGTTCATCGCATGCATTTGTTTATTACTTGTGGTTCAGCACTGACAGAATTGCAGCCTACTGAGTTTAGGCCAAACACGTGGCCACCTGGCTCCAGCAAGCCCAGCCACATCATGGACACACACACACACACACACACACACAGAGAGAGAGAGAGAGAGAAAGAAGTCTATTCAATTAGATAAACTTAATAACAGTGGTGACAGAAGCTGGATGGAACATAAGGTCAGAGATTGGAGACAATGAGCTGAGATGAATCTAGGAGTCTGGCCAGTACCACTAAAGGAGAGCTAGAGCTGGAAAGAGGCTTGGAAAGACTTTAAGGATGATGTTTGTTCAGATTCATTTGACCAAAGAAAGATAAATCATCTTGGATTCTCACTGCACTTTGAGAGGAAGCAAAGGGATTTGGGAAGTGGAAAATAGCAGGAAGAGGGTGAGATGGATGAAAGTGCACAAAAATGTCAAGAAGTAATAAATGAATAAATGAAGGGGTTTGTGGACTACTTTCATTGAGCCTTGTACCAAAAAAAATAAATCCACACTTTTAAAACCATTATGGATTAAATATTGAATTATGCAGACAAATTATTGGTTTTCTGCCCATCAGAGAATCATTTTTGTAAATAGCAAACTTTCAATTCATGCATCCAATACGTGTAGAAAAAAGAATTTAGAGGATAATCATAATAATCTGCTCTATGACTTGAGCTACTGTACAGCAATCTTCACATGATCATTACTGTAGCTTTTTATCATTTTAATTTTATTTAATTTTTAAATGTTTTTTTTTTGGGGGGGGGGGGGGGTTCGCAAGCTGTCAGTGTCACTAGCTGATAGAAGGGAAGTCTATGGAACGTACTGAAAACAGAAATGTTTCTGGTATTTGAAGATTTAAGGTGTAAAAATTCAAAGCAGACAAAAGATGTGTGTATGTGTGTGTGTGTGTGTGTGTGGAGGGGGGGGGGGGGGGGTCCTGAATAATACATTAGAAATGTGTGAATTATTCAAAAGGTAGAGTGCAGGTGGCAGAGCATGGAGACGAAAAGAAAACTGAGATAGAGCAGAAAAAAGAAGGAAGTGTGGAAGTCTTTGGAAAACAAAGAGAACTGACTGTATAATTATTCTCTTCAGAGTCCAATCGGAAAGATCTGGTCTGCTGCAGGATTTGCCTTTTGCCCTTCCTCTCCAAGCTCCTTCCATTCAGTGGGTTGTCCCCTGGGTGGTAGTGGGGCCACCAGGAGGGGTGTGTTTCACCCTCAGAGCTCCCAGACACACTAACGTTCCAGAAAAATGGGCTTAAAGTGGAGATCGTAAAAGAGCCATGGAGATAGGTGGTGTGTGTGTTTGGGTTGTGGGGGGATTTCAGTTCTTGTTGCTGTGACAGTGTCTGCCCGTGTCCAGGTCCTCAGTCCCACAGCCAAAGGCAACACCGGTCCACCGTACATGGAAAACAGAGATCAGTCATTTTACAGACAGCTGGGGGAGAATGAAGGATATCTGATGGGCTAAGTGTGGGGAAAAGAAACCAGAATCGATCGTTACTTTTGTTTACATGAGCTGTGTTTGATTCAGAATGACCACCCAATGTTTTGTTAAGCTCCCAAAAATCAAATAAAGCTCAAATGCAGACGTTTTTATGAGATCTGTGACAACAATGAGAGGTGACAGCCGAGGTGATCACTTCCTCAGTGGGGTCTGTGTGTGCGAAGCAAAGCCTGTACGCCTTTTGCCTCCACAAATTTAACGACTCGGGCTGTAAAATTTATTGGCCAGCTGTTGTGTCCTCATGGGACGTGATCAGAAAGAAACACATGCCTGCTGACGGGACCTCAAAGGTCCACCGCCTTGTTTTTAGCTCCTGCCTTTAATCACTTCAGCAGATCACCATAACAGAGCAGATTGTTCTCTCACTCTCTCTCTGATTTCCAAAAGGTATATTTAACCTCGTGCGTCGCCTCCTTCAGCACCCTCCCAACATATTTCTGAGCACCGGAGCTCAGAATGTGCACGAGTCCACCCTGCACACTCACACGCGCACTTTGGGAAAATGTACACGTGCCTGACTCACTATAGGGTCACGTAAGTCAAACATGTGAAGCGTCTGTGATACTGAGGCAACAGAGGGATTACAGGAGGAACACACCCCGGTCATCAGTGTTTCTAATGAAACGGACTTTGTTCACGGTGAGAATGTGGGAGCGAACAGCAGCTGGACGTGGCTGCGTGTGAACAGGAAACTGGATCCAGTCTGTGGATTTAAAGGCACAAATTTTTCTCTAATTATCTCTTTGAATTCATGGGAGCAAGTCGTTTAACCTTTATCTGGTTCAGTTAAACAACACCTACCACTACGAGATGTTAACATCTGGAGAAAACCATTAAACGACTTTTGTGTTATCAGATGTTTTACAAAAAGTTTAAAGCACAGTGGTAACTGTCTTTACTGCTACTTCAGGAATAAACAATAGATGTAGCATCCAGCTTCTGGGATGTTAAATCTAAATTAGGAGTAATTCACTCTTAAGTGAAGTGTTTAGCTCATCACATCTCTGCTGTGAACTGGTGACCCTCCCAGATGCCCCCTGCTTCTCATCCTGGACTGGACTCAACTATATCAAATCGACCCATAACAGTAAAAAACTGTTTACATGAAATGAATGAACGATCAGAGAACCATGGAGTCATTTCTTCAACCATGATCTCCCCAAATGTCAAACCATCTGTCTGAGAACTGAAGCTGGACTGAAACTGGGTCATGAAAATAAGCAACAATCCCAAACACAGCAGCAAATCCTCACAGAATGACTGAAAAGGAGACAGAGTCCAGGGTTTATTCTTACAGAAATGCAGAAATGCTTTCCCTCAGAAGAAAACTAAGTCTTTGGTGTTTACGGTTTTCTGTTTTGGCCAGTTTTCACGTGTGATTGTGTGTAAGAAAGGACTTTGATTTTTTTTCCATTACTAGAAATATCACTAAAAAAGCTGATGTTTGAGAAGAAATACAAATACAATGCAAAAAATTGCTGTTTTAATCCAAATAGGGACGCCAACATTTGATCCATGATTTAAAAATACTTATTTAACCAGAATTACAACATAAATGTACAAATGAATCCATGTAAACATAATAACACATTGGATTTGTTCAATCAGCAACAAAGTAACACCAAAATCAGTAAATTTATGGGCAGGAAGTTGCACACGTGCATGAGTGAGTGCACGTTTAGTGACCTCTGCCATGCAGAGGGATGGGTAGGGGGTGGCTGCCTGGTTGAGAAAAAGACACAGGCGCATGTGTTTACATTGGCAGAGTGAGAAGCCAGCAAGCTCCATGGGAATGGCACGCTCACGTCTACGAGGAGAGCTCCACCATGACTGACGGGCCCTGCGAGGCTTTGAGGTTCAGCCCAATCAGTGCAGTGTGTTTCTGACTGTGCTTTACTTTCTGGGTTAGCTGCACCAAACAAAACATTCACCACAGATTATTGCCGGAAAATATCTGTCATACCGGGATAACAGGAAGCTGTCCTCTAAAGGTGAAGGGGTGCACGCAGCACAGAAGAGAGTGATGAGTTGTCTGCTGACTGTGTGTCATTCCTGCACTAATGAAGGGTCTGGAATGCCAAGGACATCCCATCAGGGTCATTTGCATGGCTGTATCATTTGGCAATGTCCATAATTTTATCCCCAGAGAGGAAAATCCATCTACGAATCTTTGGCATGCATTCCCTTCCCTGTGTTGTGCCGATGTGTTTCCACCACGTGTTCCAAGCCATTCTCTCCATCTGATTGTTTTCAAAAGGGAAATAAAAACCAGGGACAGGCTGGGTTCACAAGACCACAAAATCAGAAATGCCGGGCATTAATTTGGGGGTGGGGTCACCAGTTACATTACTATCTGTTTCACAACAGCATCTGACTTCTGGGTAGAGGATGCATTTCTTGTTGTGACATTTGGATCTTCACCCACAGGAACAAACCATCCATTCACATTAGCTGCATTAAACGGCTTTTGTCCTTTTCACTGCAGCTCAGTGGTTTAAAACTGACTCATTGAACTTTAACGTCAACCAGGAGATCTGATTGGGAGTAAAAAAAAGTTCAGGAGGGATAGGGGCTGAGTTGAAATGTGTGAAGTGATGAGACTGGACAAGATTTGTCCAATCAGATATTGGCAGGGGGACACAGAGAGATAGATCTGTGTTTGTTATCCAGATCCAGTCAGTGCATAACACACATCTTCTTAATTATCAGCTTATATGAAAAAAAAAAGTATTTGATAGGTTTGAGGTTTGAAAACCTGGTAGGATCTTGAGGTGTTCCTGCTTTTATAAACAGAACCTTTATTGTGTGGTTTTTGAAAACCGACTAAACTAAAAGCTCATAGTGAAAACCAGTCCTCCAGTTCCCCCTAGTGGACATGTTAAACATTCATGATAATTAAAAGAGGCTGACATTCATCCATCCATTTGCAGCCGCTTATCCAGAGTCAGGTCACGGGTCAGGTCAGCCTAAGCCGAGGCCCAGACTTCCTTCTCCCCAGCCACTTGGGCCAGCTACTCTAAGGGAACCCTAAGGCAGTGCCTGGCCAGCTGACGCAGTCCCTCCAGCGTGTCCTGGGTCTTCTCCAGGTTGGATGTGTCTGGAAAGCCCCTCACTAGGGAGACGTTCAGGGGCAACCTGACCACATGGTTGCTTTATATAAATATGTTCCCACTTTCCTGTTGGACAATAGTGCTTTATTTTGAAACAAATGTTACGCATATGATGTCTTGCATGTTTAGATTTGTTCATAGATTCATGAACTACTGTTCAAAACTTTCCAATAATGTGGTAGAATGTAAATGTTCTTTTGAAACAACTATACAAATAAAACAAAATAAATTGTTACTGACTTTATTTAATATAAAAACCACCAGACCTCAGATCAAACCTCTCCTCTCTCTGACTACATCACTACAGATGATTCGTGAACATATTATCTTCTCCTTATGAAAAGACAAACAATAGAAGACATGTTGGAACCACACAGAACAACCGTGGCAGTGTGCTGCTGTAGAACCGGTATGAGGCCAAGAGGAGAAACTGCACGATGGGAGAATTAGTCCACTGTGACGCCTTCAGGCAGCTCCACCACTACAGGTGCACAGTCGTCCAAATCTGCATCGAAATCCCAACGAAACTTCTTGGTTAGGTGGGTTTTGAACTTCTCTGCCTTCTTTTGTAGGATCCCATCCACACCAGGTCCAGTGGCAAACTGGAAAAAATCCTGCAAGATAAAAAGTCGATTTAATAATCCCCAATGAAGAACACCAGTTTGAGATCAAATAGAAACAAAATATGGGACCCTAATTCTTGCTCTAGTAGATTTTCCATCTTGTAGCTGCTTAAAAATCATTTTGAAAGAAGAAAAAAAAATTGAAGACAGATTTTAAATGAAAATATTACTTAAAGACCTCGTTGAAAGGATTCATGTCCCCTGCTACCTTTTATAGTTTTAAATGAAGGCTGGAAATGCTGGAAAATGATGGATATCCGGTCTGAAATGTACAAGTTGTTTGTTACATTTATAAACAATTTAGGGTCACAAGAAATAAAAACATGATGTTTGTGCCTCTAGTGACAGCTCTTTTCTGATTCAGAAACATTTTGAATATTTCCCTAACATTGTGCGTGCAGCTGTTGCACATCTGCTGTACCTGCAGCGTGCTGGTGAGGAAGTTGTTCTGTGACACAATGTCAACAAAGAAGTCAGGAGGGACTTCTCCGAGCTGGTGGTAGAGCACAGTGATGAGTCCCAGATAGAGCTCCTTCCTCCTCCTCATGGCCTCCTCCGAGCGGCACAGCAGAGCCAGGAGGCTCTTCCAGTGCTCAAAGCCCTCGTACACATTCCCAATCAAGAAACACACAAAAGCAAACTGCAGCTCACCTGGAAGAGATTTGAGATTCAGATATTTAGTTGCATAGGCATTAGGCAGTTGCATTCTTGTAACAGTGCATTAATCTTTGTGACACAAACCAAGCAAGTTTAGAGGCTGGTTCTCGTATTTCTTCTCCAGAACCCCCTCCAGGGCATAGCTCAAGTCCATGCTGCATTTCGTGATCTCAGCTGGAGTAGCCCCAGGAGGGTAGGTCTTTTTGGGAATAACTGAAAAGCGCAGTTCAGTCCCTTCTCTGTGCTTCATTTTGGGAAGCCTGTCCAGTCCCTCTTTCATGCTCTGGCAGGCCGTGTCGTTCCTCGGCTGCTCTGCCCTGTCTTTTGTGTGTCTGAACTGAAGCTCGGGGACGACATCACTGAAGGCGCAGATTCGACCCGTCAGAGGCTGTAAGTCACTGGCCAGCTTCTCGCTGATGTGATCGGTGAGAGACACCCACTTCCTCATGACCTCATAGGGATAAGGGCCCAAGAAGGGATCCAGCTCCCGCAAAGTCCCCCGGATCCTGTTCACTTCCTCTTCATTCCTGGAGGCTGAGAAATCCAGATCTTCTTCTTTGGGATCCCAGTTGGCCAGGAGAATTTCTCTTGGTTTCAGGGTGAGGAAAAGACCCGTTTTAGGACCGATTTCTCCACCACAGCTTGGCGAGTTTACAGAGCAGTAATGGAGGAAGTGTAAACCAGGGGGGATCATCTTAACACCACGAAACCGAGGACCAACCTGCCAGCTTTTGCAGTCAATCCCAAACTCGGTGCCCTGAGGAACACCCAGCAGAACCAAAGTAGCTCCTTCTTCAAATAACGTCCAAGCAACATCTGGATCCATGTTCGAAGAGCTGCTGCTGGCCATCTTTGTTTACTACTAATCTACAAACTATATTTACTGAGAAACATGCGTAAATTCTCTCAGGTGCTACGTGAGCTGTTCATCATTCAAGTGTTTCCGTATTTGAACGCGAATGCTAATTTTAGGGTTTTAAAGTATCTTATTTAAGCAGCGAAGATTATCAATAAAGTAAAAAAACTAATTACATTTCGAAAAACCCCATTTTACGGTCTACGCGTCCACTTATAAAAACAAACTGTACCTACAGTTACACTAGTGGACGTTCCAAACAACAACGCTGCTATTTCGTTTGCCGGAAATCTGTGTAACAAAATAAATGCTCAGGGTGGAAACAGTGTCTCATTAGAACAGTTCCGCTCTTTTGCACAACTTGGCCTCCAAGTTTTTCTTAATATATCTTTTTAGAAATTTAGGTTTGGGAAAATGAAGCAATAAAAAGATTTTAAAGCAGATTTTTTTCGCAGTGGCAGAATTGATGCTGTAATCGCTTTTGCTATGTAAAAAGCCCAACAATGAGCAAAACTCGCTAAAATAAATTTAAAAAGACTGTTTAAAAACTATTTATTTTATGTACTCAGGATTAACATTTTCCATTGCAGTACATTTATTTTACATTGCCCTTTAAATTAGTAAGATTATATTCTGGCAAAATTTCATTATAAAATGTTTTACTTATTATTATTGTCAATATTTATGTTGGACTGTTCTATGCAATACCCATTGGAAGGAGTGATTGTGAACAAGACTGATTTGGAAATGTCGAAAATATTTCAATTGGGTTTTTAGCTTAATAAAAAAGACAGCTAGAGGCTGCGAGTTCCTCTCTTGTTAACTCAGACATGTCATGTTTTGTTTTGAAATAATTTACAGGAAGTGTTTGCGCTAATTAAATTTTTGTGATTGCTCTTTCTAGTCCTCCATCATCCCCAATAAGACAAAAATGGGATGTTTTTTCATAATAATAATAATAATAATAATAATAATGATGATGATGATGATGATGATGATGATGATGATGATGATGATAATGCAAAAAAGTTTTTTTTAAATTGAACTAGACTGTAGTTCATCTCTGTGCCACCAGAGGGCATTAATGTCCCATCTCCTCTTCTCTTTTAAATGGTTTAAAAGCACCAGTTCCTTTGAATTATTAAAAAAATAATTTGCAATGGCCTTTTGGAATTATCAAAGGTGGGACTCTCTAAATACTAACTAACATTAAGAAGAGAATAATATAAATTATTTTGTTGTTTTCTTAATATTTTTATGAAGAAAATCTGACATTGAATTCACAGGATAACACACAGAGACACATTTACGTTTGACTCACAAACACATCACATGAGACTTTGAAATGTGCATAATGCTGAATATTTGCATTTAGCTTATTTGTGGTTACAATGAAACTATAACAACATAACAAGGAGCAATGCTAACAAATGCAGAAAGAGCAAGAACACTAATGAGAACTTAACATTCATGTTTATTATCAGCTATCTTTGCAAAAAGGGTCATATCACGGTGCTGTGAATATACTTAAACTGGTGTTTTTGTGAGAAGTTACCAGTCACACCAGACCCTACTTAGATTTGTAGCTGCTCTGAAGTTTTTGCCAACAAGTAATCAGTAATTTGATTATGTTGATGAATAATTTCCTCTTCCTCTTCTTTCCTTGTATTTTCCGAACAGTTGAGCAAGAAGTTGTCTCTGTCTTAAAGAATGCAAGAAGAAACATAAGGCTTGCATTGTCAGTCATTGAAATTAAAGACTATAAACCTGAATTATTAAAGTAATTTTGCTACCAAATAAGTAGGATTGCAGTTTTGAAGGATGAGCTGCTCCATGCTCTCAACTGGCTTCTCCAGATCAGATGTCTGCTTCCCACTCCTCTGACACCTTATCTGCTGCGTCAGACCATAGATGGACACCAGGATGTGACCGACCTGCCAAAAGAAGGAAAAAAATAAAGTTGAGAATCTTAAACAAGTTTTATATTTAACAATGTTGAGGAAGATTTTAATATTTCCTTAAATGTCCTGCACTTGACAGACCTCTAATATGAGATTATCAGTACGTGTGAAGTACCCTCTCCATGGTGCTGAACCTGAAGGACGTACTGGGTCACATAACATAACAACATCAAAGACTTATTTGTAAGAATGTCTGTAAACAGTATTTTTAATAACAGCAGAAAGTTGGAATATTAATAAATTGAACTGAATTTTATAGATATGATTTAGGTGCAGCCAAGGTGTTGGGGGGGGGGGGGTCCATTTTTGTGGCCTAAGGATTGAGTCTCTGCTTTTTTTTTTTCAGATGATGTGGTCCTGTTGGCTTCATCAGAACGTGATCTCCAGCTCTCACTGGAGCGCTTCCCAGACGAGTGTGAAGCAGCTGGGATGAGAATCAGCTCCTCTAAATCCAAGACAATGGTCTTGAGTCGGAAAATGGTAGAATGCCTTCTCCAGGTCAGGGACGAGATCCTGCCCCAAGTGGAGGAGTTTAAGTATCTCAGGGTCTTGTTCACAAGTGAGGGAAAGATGGAGTGCGAGATCGATAGGCGGATTTGTGCTGCGCCTGCAGTGATCCGTGATGTGGGCGTTGTACCGGTCTGTCATGGTGAAGAGAGCTGAGCCAGAAGATGAAGCTCTCAAATTACCAGTCGACCTACGTTCCCACCCTCAACTATGGTCAGAAGTTTTGGGTAGTGATCGAATGAATGAGATTGTGGATATAAGCGGACAAAATTAGTTTTCTCTGCAGGGTGGCTAGATAGGGTGAGAAGCTGGTCATCCGGGAGGGGCTCGGATCCGCTGCTCCTCCACATTAAGAGGAGCCATTTGAGGTAGCTCAGGCATGGTCAAGGCGCCTCCCTTAGGATTCCCCCAGAGGAGTTGGCTCCAAGTTGCTGGAGAGAGAGAAGTCTGGGCCTCTCTGCTTTTGTTACTCTCCTCACGATGAGATGAAAATGGATGGATGGATTAACGGAACCTCAGATATCATTTGAGAAACATTGGTCTCTTTGTGTATTCTTTTGTGGAATTTTGCACATAAAAGCCATGAAAGAGACCACACTATGTGCACTAGCCTGTGCGAAATTATCAAGTATGTTTAAAAGTAATAAAATCATAATGTATTTTTTTATATTTCTCCCCTTTTTTACATTTCTTCCTGATGTTGATGATATTGTTTTTTATGACTTTTTTCTTATTGAAACTTTTTTTTTTTTTTTTTTTTTTACCACTGAAACCTATTTTCCACAGAAAAACCTCCAGGAGGGATTAAACGGAGTGCTACTTGCCTTCCTGGAGAGACAAGGGTCTCTCCGTTTCCGTTTCATGGGGTTATCTGATACAGTCAAATTCTGCAAGAAGAAGCAAAACGTGGTGGTTGAAAATAATAATAATAATTTTTAAAACACGTTTGTGGAGAAGATGAGCTCTAAGAAGTAAACACTGGAGGGCAGCCTATCACAGTTCATGAAGATAATCATTTTCTAACTGAAAATAAGTTAACTAAGTTAAAAAATAAAAAAGCTAAATGTGTTGAACTTCTGGACTCAGCTTTGTTGCCATACCAGATTTTGCAGCTCAACAAAGATGACTTCACTGTAGGAGCCCAGTATTTCGTTGTAGTTGCACCTTTTTCTCCCACAGCAGCTGGCCAGCAACAGAAGCACCAGGACACTCCGCAGCAGGGTTCCGGTCAGACACTGATGGTGGGTAGAGGGAATGGAAACAAATGGGACAAAGAAAGATGTTCACCAGGATAAATATCTGCTACGACACAAACCAACCCGCATTCCCTCACAGAGAAGAGAGTTTAAATCATAATACAATGCCATAAACACAGCGATTACTCTCTATTGACTAATGTTACTGATCCGGATTTACCATGGTCCTGCGGCGCGTAAATACGCACGGCGGCACACACCATTTATCATGTTCTTCAGAATCTTCAGACGAGCAAACCCATCTCTGTCGGTGTCTGGGAGATCCGAAGGGTTATCTCAGCGAGTCTCATTTACCAAACCTTTTTTGCTTCAGTATTTCTGCGCTTCCTCTAGAGCAGAGGTTAGGAAGGTGGCGGCGAGACGTCCGAGGAGGTGCTCCGTGGTTTCCAACGCGACAGCTGCTTGTGTTTCCATCCCCGTCATGGATGGCTGCTGATGGGCATAGGATTTCATCAAACTCCAGTCCGATCAAGTCCCACAGAAATCTGCAATTTATCACCTTGTTCTGTCTTCCTCGTTTCGGTTGAGAGAACATGGTTAGGTACCGGAGGGTTTGGGAAACCTCCACGGAGACAAAGCCAGGCGCCCAGCTGTGGGCAAACATCAAAGACAGTTTGACATTTGAAAAAGAACAAATACCGGATGTAATGGTTTTGTAAAACTAGATCAAGCGGTCGTAAAGTTGATACTGGTTTACTGGATGGGAGCTATGTATCACATTTCAACAACAAACAGATCATGCTGGACATAACCAGCATTCCTCCGTTTACCTGAGCCCACCTTGTACAGCAAGCATTTGGGGTCATTTTTATTGGATTTTAGGTTTCCATGCCTTCCGTTTAAAAAGAAGTTTACAGCTGTTTTCTTGGTCCAGGTTGAAAAAAACTAAGAACCTAAAATGTTGCCGAAGATATTTTGCTTTCCAAGTAAACAAACTGTGCATCAAGTGATCCAAAGACAAACACGAGAGAGCAGAAACGACAGCAAGTGCTTCGGCCGACTTTATTTTATACTGGACAACCCAGGATTCTGCTGAGATACTTTACTATAACAGTCTGCAGCAATCATCTGATCAGGCAAAAGCCAGAACACCAACTATGACGTCCAGCTGCACTGAAGCACATCAGATACAAGACAGATTAGCAACAGCAGCATCCTCTGGACCAATGATCCTTAACAAAAAGAAGTTTGGTTCATTCCGCAAAATAAATTTGAACCTCTCACCGGCTGAGCTGGCAGCAGAACACCAACAATCCTTATTCCTTCTTAGGAAGGTGGTTTTATTCAGCAAATGCGACAAAAAGTCTGGGACGTGTTTATGAGACTGGAAGATTCAGTTAAAAAATAAATAAATGAGAATGCTGCTGAATGAATGTGAGTGGGGATGATACGGGACTAGCATATTAATCTAGATTTAATGTTAATCTAGCCTGGTGCATGGTGATGGAATCATTATAACGAGGGTGGAAGAGAGAAAAACATTAAAACTCAAAAGACACCATCTAGTAGTTTAAACACACCTGGTGGGAGTTTTACTTTACAAAAGACAAAACAATAAAAAAACAAATGTCCGAGCAACGACTTTGATCCATCTGGTGTCACTAAGCAACGCTTCCACAAAAACAGTCACTTCTGCCAGATGCATTAACATTTTCACTTCAGGGATGGGGTGATCACTCACTCTGATGTTTATAGAGAAACTTTTAATTAAAATATGCTGAGTTCTGTTTCGGTAAACAAATACAAACATCTGTGAAGTCCTGGTAGAGAACAAGCATGTCCATAACAGCTGGACAGGTGACTGCCAGCGTCCTCCAGGTGTTTCCGTCTCAGAAGGTGTTCTTGATCTTGCTTGCTACCTGCATCAATATCTCTCCTGTCTTCTTCTGCCAGTTCAGGACGTGTTTGGACTCAGCGCACCACAGCTCTCCATGACGGGGCTCGGCATTCTCGCATCGCTTTCGCACTTCTTCCTGCTGCTCCTGATGGGTGGAAAGCAGCGAGGTTAAACATCCACCAAGCAGCTTATTCGCAATCCGGTTTGAGGGTTAAGACTACTCAGTAGGAATAAAACACCGTGAGACAAACACATAAATATTTAGGGACTCTAAGTGGTGTGATTGTAGTCTCGACCTAAAATCTGTACCTCTGTGCCATGCTGCAGCTCAAACTTGTAGAACAGAGCCCAAGCATCTCCCAGGTCCGGCTCGATCTTCACCGTCCTGAGGAACCACTCTCTAGCTTTGGTGATCTTACGTTCACTCCAGAACAATCTGCAACATGCAGAAATGTGCATCTGAAGACCAGCTAGAGTTTGTTATAAAAAATAAAAACATTAAAACTGAACTGTTAAGGTGGATCTGGACTAAAAAGCCATACTTTGCCACAGCCAGCAGCACGTGGGGGTCGTGTTCACACTTCTTCAGGGCATCCACACTCTTTGTCTTCCTCTGGGGTCTGGCCTCTAAGAACACCGCCTCAGCCCACAGGATGCCTTTGATCAGAAAATGACAACAGAAATAAAGAATAGGACATTAAGGAACCCAACAGAAGCCTTTCTTATATGTTTTTTTTTTCTGGAACAGTTTCAGAGGTCGTCAGGACGTCACATTTACCCGAGTTTGGACACTCCTGCAGGGCTTTGGCCATTAATGTGTTGGCAATGTTCTTCAGTCCAGCCCTGAACTCCAGTCTGACAGACTCCAGCCTGACCCACACACAGGACTTTATATTAGTTACACAACTTCATTGTGAATATTAGATCTTAGAGTGAATGAATCATTTGAATGGTTTGTGTTGCGGTTGGGTTTCCTCACCACAGCTCCGGGCTCTGAGAGTTCTTGAGTCGAGCCTTCTCCAGGATGGCTCTGGCTCTGGTCAGCTGTCCCACCCTCTCTTCTAGCCGAGACAGCAGCAGCCACAGGGGCACCGAGTGGGGACACTTTTTCAGCTACGGCAAACAAAAAACACACAAAAACATCAACTCCCATGATCCTTTGTTCGCGTGGTAAAGACTCCAGCCCCCGCCTCACCCCTTGGTTATACGCCTCCCTGGCCTTGTCCATGCTCTCACACTGCTCCTCTATCTGTCCTCGCATCATCCACAGCTTGGGGAAGTCCTCATAGTGTTTGAGGGCCTCGGTGCACAGCTCCTGGGCAGCTTCTATGTTTCCCAACACCCACTCCAACTTGACAGATTTCATAAACACCTGTGCAGAGTAAAATAATACCGCTGGTCTGTCAGACTAAAGTCCTAGATCGATTATGTAAAAATAATCCCTGTATGAAGCACATCCAGTTAATTGTGCCTCCCTTTGACAGTCTGGATGGTTTATTAACACCTAAAAGATATCTTATCAGACAAAAGCATCAGCTTTGCCAACATTAAAGTATGCTCGCTGTCACGTCTGTCAGCGCTCAACATGGGAATCAAACAGGAGGGAATCCAGGTCAGCAGGGAGGCTGAGTGACGGTTTAAGAGACCCGCTAACAGAATGTGCCATCCTGGGTGCTGCTGACTGACTGTAGGTTCAGAAACACTTGTTTACACACGTTAAAGACAATAAACTTATTAATCAAGCTGTTATTTAAAAAAATAAAAATAAAAACACTGAGTCAACCCGGGTAAGAGGTCACAATAGGACACAGACTGAAACTTAAGGTGATAAAAACAAAGTTTCGATCTTCTGTGGATCATTTCTAATTAAAATCCAAGACTTCAAACTGGAGTCATGACACTAGAACGTGTTTCTCCATCATTACCCGAGCGGTCGGCGCGCTGCTGCGAGCCTTGGCCAGCAGTCGACGGGCTCTCTCATACTCATTATTCTCAGACTCCAGTTTGACAGCAGCCAGCCAGATTTCCTCACTGTTGGGGTTAGCCTAGCATAAACAACATAAAGGAGAAAGAGATCAGGTCTGATCCAGGCACAGGGCACAGACACAGGCAACATGGTTTCAGCATCACCTGAAAGGCAAGAGCAAGAATACTTCTAGCTGCTGGCACGTCTTCAGCCAGCCACTTGGACTTGGCACCCATCAGCCACAGGACCTCTGCTTTAGGACAGTGAGCCACGGCTCTCTGCAGCAGGGCCTCCAGAGACTCTCTGAAGTAGGAGCCACAGAGGGATGATGGATGGAAGCGGTCACGGTGTAAAAACAGAAGAGCGAAAACAAGAAGAGTGAGAATAAATAAGGATGGGAGGAGGTTAAGTAGCTGTCATCAGTCATGGACCAAACTGGTGACCTGGTGCCGTGGTTCTTCTCAAAGTAGGCCGCTCTGAGCCAGACGCTCTTCTTACTGGGGAACACCTGCAGGGCGTGGGCGTAGATGGCCCTGGCACACTCCAGCGCTCCATGAGCCACACACTGACGAACAAACAGAAAACACCTTAAAAGAAGATTATCAGTATAGTTATGAGGATCTGAAAACATGTTTCCAAACCCACGCTGTCTGAATCCTCCATCCAGGTGTGTTTGCGGTCCTCCTCTTCAATGCCGATCCCGATGACGGCCCTTATCACAGCCTGGCAAGTCGCCACGCTGCCTGCTTTGTCACATTCTTCTGCATCCTGCGGGTCAAGCAGAGGCTTTTAGGAGGGAAGATACTCTGGGTGAAGAAGAATGCAAAAACGAAGGCTTGAACTGAATGGCCACACAGTAAGCCAGGAACGATACTGGGATCATGGAAATACCAGCACACCTGGTGTTGGAGGCAATGAGACGTGACCTAAAAGTGACTCCGGTTACTCATTGATATCATGTAGATGACCAACAGTTTATAACTTGAACTTATCTAGTTATCTGATCTAGACCCAGATAGACCCGAGGCTTGTTGTTGTTGGAAAAGCAAAGCAGCAGCTTGTTTAAAGCTGAAAAAATATATATGTAATTAATTTAACATGAGTTTAAAATGTTATTTACTGGGATTATATAAACTAAGTGTATTTATTCTAATTCTTCTTTTGGACTTTTTTTGTCAGACTTCCCACAGAAAACTTCACCAGTTTTGTTTATCTCCCTAACAAGCTGAAGTTGCTGAGGAAATCAACAATCAAAGGGAGGTTTGTGGAAAAGGCCACGATTGCAAAAGAACTGAACGATAAACTAAACGTCAGTCAGAAGATCTGCTTTGTTTTTGTTGCATCCAGATGAAACAACTGCGAGGCACGGTGCCAACTTACTGGCATGCTATCAAAGTGGATCGCATCCAGAAATGGCACACCATGCAGTCTTTCCAAGATTTAAAGGTACAGTATCAACGTATTGAGATGTTGGATTTAGCTCGAAAAAAAAAGGAAAGACTGTCCAAAGTTACAAGAATAAAAGCATTAAAGTAACTGAAGCTTCTGTTAGCGCATCTTAGAAAGAACATTACAACACAATCTGCTCTCTTTTTCTCTGAATTTCTAAAAACTGGGATAATGAAGTAAAAACTTCCACATGGAAGCTTTGCTGCTGCTGGCTTGGATTATTTTCATATAACTAGTGATGGTGCGTTCAAGGGGCCTGGATCCTAGAGATCAGCCAAACGCAGATCAAAACGATGGTAGCGAGTCAGCGTTCGTGTCTTCATGCGTCCACTTCTTCCAACAAACCTGGATCCACTGCTCTCTGTTGATCTCCACGCCGTTTGCCCTCAGAGAGGTGATAGCTCTGTCGATGATCTTCTCCACCATCTGAGTGTTGCCGTTGGCCTCCTCCAGCTTTGCAGCTGTGATCCAGATGTGGCGGTCAGTGGGGATATTCTCTCGAGCCTTATTCAAGACCCGACGGGCGTTCTCGTAGGTTTCCAGGTGAGCCAGCGCCAGCCACAGCTAAAGTTAAACACATAGGAAGATTTATATGTGATGCCACTGTGTGTGACACTCAGTCCAACATGATTCCAGTTAGAAAGCCGTCTGCATGAGTGAATGATACCTCCACACTTGTAGGACAGCACTCCACCGCTCTGCTGAGCATGATCCGGGCATCCTCCGGCTCCTCCAGCTCCACAGACGTCTTCCACAGCCGAACTGACTTCGATACATTTTCCAAGGCTTAAAGTGAAACAAGTCACACAAACACTAAGTGATTTTCTAATGTATTACCATATATTCAAAGAAAATTACTCCTTTCAAACGTGGTGGCTTCAGAATAGGTGGGGAGGAATGGTCTCCTTTTAGAGTCAGACCAATATCACTACACCAACATGAGACTCTTGCCTCAGATGGAAAGAGTCCAATAAAAGTTCAGTTCCATGATAAAAATGACTCAGCAGCATTGGAGATTCATCCGCATCTCTTCACATCAGTTATGTAAACTAGGGCTGCAACGATTCGTCGACGTTGTCGACAAATATCGACAGTAGAGATAGTCGACAATGAACTTCATAGTTGACGTTTTCGCCAGGCATGTTTTTCCCGACCGAGTGAGGCATCTCGCTTCATTACAATCTCTGCAGAGCGTCGCACATGCGCAATAGCTTCTCTGCTGAGCGCCAACTAACAGAAGTGGCGGCGTCCAACACAGCAGCTACGCGTACCAAAACATCTAAAGTTTGGGAGCAGTCTAGCCTGGATTCGGCGAATAAAAAGATTACCTGCATTATTTGCAAAGCAGCCCTCGCGTATCACGGCAGCACCTCGCTGATGCATGAATACTTAAAGAGAAAGCACGTTGGACAGTTGAATGAAACAGAGTCTGACTCACCGCGGTAAGATTTAAACAACACGAAAGCCAATATGTTTTGTTTTGGATGCACGTTGTACATTTTTTTAAATGTACTTTCGCTTATTAAAAAGAGAGATTTCATGTTATGCCCGACAAAAGTATTTTAATTTTATTTATGCATTTATGTCTATACTGACTGAGCGCTGTGCCTACTTGGTGTTAGACGGGGAATTTTTATTTACTTTTAGTATGAATTGGCCTATCAGCAGCAAAGTTTAATAAGATATGCATTTTCCATTGAAGGACACGTCTTTCTTGTGTTTATTATCATGTTTCACATAATTAAAGCAATCTCGTGCTAAATTTAAGAAAAATGTAATAATTATCAGATTAGTCGACTAATGGTTTCAATAGTCGGTGACTAGTCGACTATTAAAATAGTCGTTAGTTGCAGCCCTAATGTAAACACCGACTGCTGTCATGACAATTGTTCCTGAGCTGTAGGAGACCTGCAACACTTTGCTCTTAAAAAACAAAAACAGCACTGGAACTATTTTACCAATCTAACAATCCTAACAGGCCGTACAAACACAGTTTACAATAAACCTAACGCAATCTTCACATTGCTTGGGTCCAGAATCATCAGTCAGAAGCAGAATCCTTTAGCCTTTAACAGTTTTACTAGCCTAAACGCCTCAGGAATAACAAATTAACAGCTGGGATCTGCAATTAAACATGGTATAGAGCCTGAGTGGGGAAGTTATTTATTCAGTGGCACCATTTGTGCACCGATTCTCAAATCAGCAGCATCTAATAATGTGACTCTGAATTTACTAATATTTTCTGGTTCTACATATTTCAAAACCCCAGAATGCTCTTTCCAAAAGAAAATTACTTAGTCAAGACGAATGAAATGCAGTGTGTGTGATGGTGGTGTGTTTGCATTAAAGTGTAATAAAGTTAGCGGTGTGTTTTTTGTGCAATTAAGTAAAGCAGAGCAGAGGCATTTGAACAAGTAGAGGCGGAGAGGGCTCTTCCTCAAGAGGAAACTTCCATCCATCTCTGTCAGTCGGGTATGCTGCTGGGAAATATTGGTACGCGTGAGCCTGTGTGTGCATGTGTGTGTCGGGGCACTGACACCCTGGTTAAGCACAGAGCCTGGCCTTGACAAGGAGCCAGAAACACAGCAGCCAAGTGTAACTCCGATAGCTTTGTGAGGGTGATTTCATGAGACAATCAACAGATTGAGACTGGCTTTGAATTTCAGCCCTGGAGAAATGAGTGTCGTCCTTTTCGCAGCAGAATCAAACTCATTCACACACGAGCTGCTGGGAAGGAACGTGAACCTCCGTTTATAACCACAAAGCAGTGAGAAGCTTCTGATGATAGTTGCAGACAGAGAAAGCAAAATTAAAAGCCTTACCCTTTCTGAGGACCCTCTTCTTAGCACGGATGTCTGTTTCGAGCTCAGCAGCCCTGATGTAGATGCGGACAGACTGTGGGAGGTGGCGAACAGCCTGAGCAACCACAGCTTTAGCCGTATCACCAGGTTGGAGCCTTGCTGCCTCTAGCCACACGTCCTCACTCTGGTTAAGAGAGAGAAATATTTTGTTATTGAAGTTATCAGCATCTAGCCTTTGTGCATGGAACCAAAGCAGACACCCCTTTTACCTTAGGACACATCTCTGTGCCCTTCATGATCAAGTTCCTGGCGACCTGCAGCTTGCCCGTCACCTCTTCAAGCCTGGCAGAAGCAATCCAGGCCGGCGGGTGATGGGGATTAGTCTCTCTCACAGATTTCAACAGCAGGCGAGCCTTCTTGATGTCGCTGGGTGAGATTTAGGTGTAATTCATCAAACACACATAAGAAGTTATTTCATAAGGAAATTTTCCTATGGGCAACTTTTCTATACCTGATGTCTCCTCCATAAGTGGGGATCATGGAGTTGAGATCTGTCAGGTAACCCTTAGGATCCACCACTGTCTGTCCACTGACTGAATCAGATACCTTAGTGGAGAGAAAAACAATAAAAACAGGTAAAATCTTGATAAACGTGAAAGAAGCTCAGGATTTAGATAGGTCTACCTGGCTGAGCCTCATATCCATGAGAGTGTTTCTGGCTTGACCGATTTTCCTCATATCCAAGTCTCCAGTTCCAGGAGTCATGCTGCCTGGGTATGGTGTGTTCAGACCGCCCAGCTACCAAGACAGAAAGCAGGAATTGTGTTACAGCGTGTGTGAACAGCTTAAGAAAGCTGAATCCTTTCTCACAGCTATAACTGACACACGTAAAAGATGCTTTATATTCTGCAGAACTAAACATGGAGCCAGCTCTGTCTAATTAAACACTGCTGTTTCCAGTTAAAGTATTGAAACATTGCATGCATGAAATCAAGTAGATAAATGAATAGTTTCAAGTTTAAACATGAGGTTGATGCTCTTAAGCAGATATTTACTGACAATATAATGCATGGCTGCACATCTCTGAACAGTTATTCTGACTCCTGCTGGGGCAAGGTGAAACTACAACAAATGTTCGGTGACCTGCTTGTAGTGTGTTTTCATGACTACTAACCCCTTGTAACGGATCAACAGATGTGTGGTTTTCTCCGGTCTGCAGGTGTTTAGAGAAGAAGCTGTCAGGGACCGGGGTGAGCTTCTCAAAGCGAGGATTCCTCTGTCGCTTGTTCCTGGCATCTCCAACTTCAGGGATGCTCAGCCACTCCTCCTCCGACACCTCTGCTAGTTTTCTCTGTAATTAAATGATAAAACAGAGATGCGTGTCTGATCCTAAGAGAGATTAATAATTGTAATTGCATGTGCCTTTGCATTACCATTTCACAAATGGCAAATAAGATCACAAATTTGTTTAAAAGCACAAAAACACGAATGCAAACAAATCAGTATGCAGAGTCAGCTGTTAACCTGCACAAAATGCATTAAAGATAGATACCTAAAAACAATGGCATCGTGAATACAATAGAATAAATGTGGAAAACTTACCTTCAGATCTGAGAACTGCTGTTGGATTTTAGGACGCTCCATACGATATTTTTCTATTTCTTCCTTTTCTCTCAGCTCCCTACGAGCAACCACAGACAGTATCAGAAACACATTAAATCAACACAGGGATGAAAAAGGGATGCTCTGTGCACTTATTTTGTAGGTGTTTGGTCTTTTTTGGTCAAGAGGTAGATTAGTTTTATAGTTTACCTTCTTTCTTTGCGCCGTTCATCCATTCTCTTGTCAAGTGCCGCATATATAGCATCTGCTTCTTCATCGTCCTTTTCATAAGGCCCACTGGAGAACAAGCTGCCAGCGTAACCATTAAACTGTACAAGGAGCAAACAGGAGTTATTGACTGGATGCACTGAAGTATTAAATGCCAACAAAAGCATTTAGTTATTGAGACCTCGTCATAGTTGGTGTCGTTTAGATCCTCGTCATCATCATCCTGATTCTTCTTCATCTGGTCACCAACCGTCCTCTTCCCTGGGGGAGCATGCCGATCATCCACGGGGTCGTTGGCATCCCGAGCAGGACCAATGTCGGAGCGGGTGGTGAATCCTGTGGCACTGAAACCGCAACATAACCCTTAAGATCGGAGATTTGTCCTTTGTTGCAAACAGCACAAACCATTGTTATAATGTATTTAAAATGTTGTTTTATTTGACACTGCATGCAGAAGGTGGACAATTCAAGTTGTCAACAAACACGCAACTGGAGGAGCTAACGACTTAGCATCAAATTAGCTTACCCTCTGCCGAGACCAGGAACGTAACCTAGCGGAGCGGGCATCCCCAGAAACGGCTTCTTCTTTTTCCCCATAAGCGGAGAGGCAAGAGGTATTACAGGGGGCGCGCCACTCGCCCCTGTGCCCCCCGCGCTGGTTTTGGAGACAAGTTTAGGTGTTTGTTTTGCTCCAGAGGTAGCCATCGTTGCTGCAACGACGTGCACACTCACTAGCAGATGAACAACAGTTTAACTTCCGCTCTCGACTCCTTCCTTTTTCTTGTTTTCTGTTACAGCGCCCCCAACAGGACGGGCTGATTGATTGACCGCTAAAGTTTGCCACACGGGTGCGCCAAACTGTAGAAAATAAAATAAAAATACAATTAGATGGAATAAAGTTAAACTGAGTAAATAGTATTTATCTTTTAGGATATGCTACACTAAACACCAAAACACAATTGTCTAAAATAGTACAATGAGGGAAAAATATATACTTATATACATGCATATATACAATGTTTATATACAACATAAACACACACACACACACACACACGTGATATTTATTTATACTCAATTTTAAGATAAAAAGAAAAACTAGATAAATCATAGTATCTTCATCCATCCTAAATGAACCACCTCAAGTTGTGCAAAACTGAGAACGGTCATTTTTGACTGGCCTAATGCAGAATGCCTCATCAGTATCTGGTTCATTAAAAAAAAAAAAAAAAAAAAAAAGAAAGAAAAGCTGTCTCACTCCTACGTTGGCAGTCCTGGGTTAGAGTTTGAAGTGGAGGTAGGGTAGAGTAAGATAAATACTCATACATACTGTTGTCATTTCCTCTCTAGTTTGTTTAGTAAAAAATTATTACCTAGACATTGTTTACAGAAACAACTAATGGACCTGCAGCCCTAATTAAGACAAGGATGACTCAGATGACATTTGATCCCACAGATAATTAGGTTGCCAAATTGAAAGAAATACATCATTTTTTATGCTGTTTGAAAACTGAATACAATATTTTCACTCCTTGCCTGTCTGACTGCACATATATTATATTGCTTGTAATGTACATAGTTTTAGGTCAAATGAGCCATGCATTTGTGATGATTTCCATTAATTCCCATTAGACACATGCCAACATGCTACATCAATAACTCATCTGACATTTCAGGTTCAGAAACCTACACTCAAACAGAGACGCCAGAGTGCAATAAGTAATTACATGCTAACATGACATTTTTGGGATCTATCTCATGAGATGATGTGAAACCATTCATCAATTAGTTTCAATCGCATTAACTTCAGCCGTCTTCACTCCTAGCCTGGGATCCAGCCTCTACATCTTTCTTCATTTACATCGCCTGAAGGGATGGTGTTATTTTACCCGTGGGAGAGGATGTTAGGGAAGAAAATTGACCGTCAGATGGATTAGATGCTAGGTGGTTCACATGTACAAGGACAGATTTAAATATGAAGCTTAATTCAAACTGCATTTCCTCCCACCAGTGTGTTTTATGTCCTTGTGAGTCTTTAAATGATGATTTTGTTTTGATTGAATAATTAGAACACAATAAAATGCACATTTATATATGACTAAAGGAAAGAGCCACATATCATGTGTGTGTTTATCTCAAAGCTGACCTACAGATAGCTGATCAAGGTCGATGTCAGGATGATAAATGGAAAGTCATTCCTGATACAGGCCAATATCAACACCACATTTTTCCCCCATGTGCATGATGCATACACCCTGAATAATTTTAATAAAATGAAATAATTGTATTCTGCTGTGCTGTGCTCCAGAAGCCAAAATGATGTGTGTTTCACATAAACAATGGTGGTTTTATTTTAAAAAGTTTGTTTCCAAAGACACAATTAGCCCTCTTACTACCTCACACACAAATGCACACACAGAAACTTTTCAAACTGCCATCTTGGCTGATTGAAATGTGTGTGTGCATGCATGTGTGTGTGGCAGCAGAAGAAAGCACGTTTCTGTGAGGGATGGCTGAGGGACCGTGGCGTTGCCAGAGATCATACTGTCATAATTTCCGTTGATTCGCTGCCATAAAATTGTTGGCAGTGTTTCTGGTGAATACAGCAGTGAGCTGGAAACTTTCTGCTTCAGATTAATTTGCATCATGATAAAGGCACAAATATGGCCTAGATAATACAATACTAATGCATAGATACAACGTGTCATTTTCTATTAGCACATTTAATATGTGTTATGGTCCATTCAGACTGTGACTGATGCACAAACAAGGAAATAAATGGATCGTCACCAAGCGTCTTTGTACAAAAGAGCTGAAAGACAACCATCCAATGAACTGTCCAACTTTTTAACAAAGACTAATCACCTCATTTGTGCAGAAATGTATTCAGACTTGAGAAATTAAAAGAAACCACTCTAAATTGAACAAAAAACGCTTTAATTTATGATGCAATTATATGCTGCATGGAAAGCTGCACAATTGCTCACATATAATGGTGATTATGGCGGTGTAGGTGTAAAGCAGCATGTAGAAATATATAAAGAGAAGCAGATATTCTAGCAAACAGCAGCGTGTCCCGTTTGTTGTTGGTTTCCAGAGCGAAAGCGGCTCTTTGCTCAACAGAAACGCTGGAGGAAACGTGTCAAGTAGACATTTTTATTGATCTGCTGTGTGCTTCATGCACAAACACACATTCATACACACAAAGAAACATGTTTCACACTGCTCAGACCCCACTGTCAGTTCATTTTAGCTCATTAGATCAAGTGTGGCAACATGGGCAAAAAAACCCACACTAGGACATGGGAATATTATTTTAACACAATATGAAAGTCGTCTGCTTGCTAAAAATGTTTGATTTCAAACTCACAAAAAGCCTCAGTTTTCCATCTTGCTGATTAAAGACCATGTTTTATTCTGACGGGGAAAGAGTAGCAGTTAATTACCAGGGCTTCCTTTTACAAACATCCATCCAGAGCTGTTAAATCCTGATCCAATAACCTTGGCGCAACAACAAAGCATTGAAAAATCACAGCTAATACTTAGATTGTCTGTTTTTAGAATAACTGCTGAGAAAGGGAAACATTCCTTTGGGCTGGTTGACGTTTCATTACTTAAAAAATTTAAATTCACATGATTTTCTGGGATTAGCTGATATAGCAGACACAGAATATGACTCACTAAAAGGCTGCTGTGTTAAAAATCAACCCCACAAGCTTTACAAATAATGATAAATGACCCACACTTGTATAGCGCAAACCAGAGGACTCCATAGCTACAGTGCATCATTCATCCATTCACACACACACATTCACTCGCTGGTAGTGATGTGCTACAATGTAGCCACAGCTGCACTGGTGCACTGATAGAAGTGAGGCTGGTGAGCACAGGTCCCTTCACCCACCGCAAGCAGGGAAGGTGGGTTAAGTGTCTTGCCCAAGGACACACCAGCAGATTTCTCTGCCGGAGGCTGGGATCAATACAACCTTCCCATTACTGGACAATCCGCTCAACCCCCTGAGCTACTGCTGCCCATGAGGCTCATGGGTGTTTTTGCTGTGTTTAGCTTCCCGTAAAGGTGAGTTTGGACTTGGTCGTCTGGATTCTTTTCATAATGTTTTTGTTGGTTTACTGGTTTAAAGGTGTGGTTCACTGAAAAACCATTTTTAATGATTATCTCTGATTATAGTCAGTCACTTTGAGGTTTTCATGTAGGTAGAACATGAAAATAGTCTCCTACACCTTTCTCCTGCATTAGCTTCTGAGAGAAAATAGACGATGAAACTCTAGGATTTGAAAAGCCTGACGTCACACTGTCACTGAACGTTCGTGGACTCACCCATCTTGACTTATGGGGAATGATGTTGTTTGTTTAGGGTCCAGGAAACAGCAGAGAATGTCTCAAGTAGCAGAAGCTAGCCGTTAGCATTAGCAACTCCACCACACGGCAGAGCTCCTTTGTGTTATTTGTGAAGATTAAACATCAACGTTGAAGAACAAACAGCCAGTGGTAGAGTCGCGTTGCAGTCAGAGGCGAGATGTCCAAGTATCAGGAAACAAGACTGCCGTGCTCCGCCGCTCTGCTCCAGCAGGCTTCTCTGTGCTGATTCAGGAACTTCTGGGCTTTTTCTCCCTGAGTTTGACTTACCAGGCAATCATTCCTACTGGAGACGACTGCAAATGCTGATTAAATATGTTCAACACCTTTAATGGAAATGGCTTATTAGGCCGATTTCTAAATAAAGAAAAATAAGGCTGCTTCTTACTTTCAAATGTCTCTCCATGGAACAGTTTTAACCCTTTTTATATACAATAATGCTATAAAACTGTGTTGTTTCCTACATTATTAAGTTTCTCTGACATGTTTGATAAAAGTGTATTACACTGGCTTTCTGCTCAGCACTCATGCCCTCTAAACATCAAGATGAAAGCTCATTATTCATCACAAACCAGCAATTTAAGTGAAACTCTGGTAGAAGTGGAGAATAAATGTGTTTGTTGTGGATCTACTGAACGTTTTTGATATTTGTAACATGTGCTGCACAAAGGTTTGCTTGAATTGCTCCATGAAATTAATTTTAAAATGCACAAAAGCTGCAGTGGATGACTTGTGGTGTAAATATGCTCTGCTGTAATCTCTCCTTTCCACATGATGTCTCGGCGTCCCTCTGCTGCCATGTCAAACATCCCACTCTAAGTGGTTTTACGGTGTCTGATAGAAGAAAGGGAGCATGTGAGCGCCACTGGGTGGAATGAGGTTTGTGTGCTTTTTTCAGATCAAAAGTATGACAACCAACATGATCCAAAGCAAAGCTGATTTGTTTCTCTGATGGGTGAGCAGATAAATGGGATTATTGACTGCAGCTGTTTTCCTGACCTGTATTCAGGCTGACACAGCTATGAGTTATTTAGATAGAGTGAAACAGATTATTCTGTGTTTATATTTTTTCTTATTTTTGCTGTGGCCCCATCTTTCCAGAGAAGAGGCGAGAGAAGTGGAGCCTCTCATGCTTCTTGAGTTTTGACAGGTATGGACGGTAAGACACAGTTACAGAAAGTGGAGGAGACAGAGAGAGATAAATGGGGCATAAAAAGATGGACGAAGGACCTGACCATCTCCCAGAACCAGAAGTTTAATTAAATCCATATTCTACTCATCCTCTTGCACCACAAAGAGGCCTTTTTTTTCTTTTCTGGTCATTAAAAGCAACAAAATCTGAATCTTCCTGATCTGTATTAACAATAGCACATAAAAATAATGCTAAACTAATGACTGTAGC